TCACAACTATCTGCTCAGTCGTACGCACGATTCAGATCAGAGAGGTTGTAGAGACTGGAGATTCTACCATGTTGATTCTTTGGGGAGTGATCGAGGCCTGTGTAGGGGTATGACCCTACATGTCTCTCAGATCACAAGATTTCCATGCTAACACGATTTGGCAGGTCATCACATCATCTATACCAACCTTGAACGCCATGTTCTCTGGTCTCTGGAAATCGGGTACTTCTGCTACTAAGATACGCCACAGTACAGATAGATACTGTGAGCTTCCGGGTACTGGCAGCAGCCCTGGTCATTCGGTAAAGCTCACTGGTATCAGACGCGAGACGAATATCGTGATGAGAAGCGAGGTGGTGGAAGATGGCTTCCAAGAAAGCAGCACAGGACATGGTTGGTGACCAGCAGGATATGTTGACGCTAGGGAAATCATGAATTCCAAACAGCTATGAACCAACAGGCTGATTGGCAGCTTTGGCAGCGGCTTTGACACATAGTCTACATTTTGTAGTTCTCATTTTTGGTTCATCTTCAGTAACCAGTAACTCAACTCAAGTCGTTCAGGGCGGAACATCACAGACGACGGAGATCGGTGCTTGACCTATCCATTCTGATTTTCGAGTTCGTCCGATGTGAACAGAGTCCAAGACTGATCGGGTTGAAGCGATCGTGGATTTACAAGACGATAGATTCGAGGTTCAAGGGAAACGAATAACGAACTTTCTAGATCAGAACACTGGTGATGTGGAGGGTCCAGATCCTTTTAAGTAGGTCTTACTTCATGGTTGCCGCAGAGTCGAAGTGTCAATGGTTTCTCGGACGAAAGAACATAGCTAATCTTGACTGGGCTTGTGCCATCGTCAAACTCGGTAATGCGAGGTCATGCTCCGGCTATAGCGGGTCGAGACAGAACACATGTCTCAGATCTCTGCTGCTGTGGCGTCTCCGACTAGTCACGCAGCACATGATAAGTCGGAATTTCGTCGTGGCCTCTCAATGACCCTGCATAGCGTGATAGATCAGGTCAGCAATTTCTATACGATGCAAGTCGCAGAACCTCCACGGCGCTCTCATCGACCGATGAG